TTAATTTCATGACAATTTATTTTCTTAATACATTTGACATAGGTATATATTCAAAGAGCTTACAAATTCCACAAAAAAAACTTTTTATTCCACAGCACTAATAGTTCAATAAGAAAAACAATCAACTTTAGGTGAATATTTGTATAAGTCAATTTTCTGTCTGTCTGTCTGTCTGTCTGTCTGTCTGTCTGTCTGTCTGTCTGTCTGTCTGTCTGTCTGTCTGTCTGTCTTTTCATTACTTATTCATGCATTCACTCACCCCTTCACTCATTCATTGGTTAATTCATCTCCCACTCTAACTTCTGCTTCAACTTTCACTGTCTGTATATACTCAACTTCTTTATTCAACAAATATATAAATATATATATATATATATATATATATATATATATATATATATATATATATATATATATATATATATATATTCCTCCTTTGATTAAATTCTCACTCCATTACACATTAACGGGTTCGTGAGTAGCAAACCTTCTCTTCACAACGTGTATGTTCTTATTGGAAAGACAGATCACGTAGCAGTGATCCGTGTATGTAACTGAAAAAGAAAATAAAGAGAAGAAAAATTAATATTTATCATTGTATGCACATGCAAGCATACTGACCAACCTAATCTAAAAATCCATTGGTATAAATAAGAATGTAATATTCTGAAATGGATTCCATAAGCATACTAAATAAATTTTAACTCACAATTCAAAAGTATTGAGCTATTCCTTCAATCTTCCCTTCATTTTAATATTCTTAATATAATTTCATTCCAACACATCTCAATTAACTATCTTTTTAACATACATTAAAGTGTATAGACATTGTCATGCTGATGATTAACCATCATTTACATGAATCCAATTTATTCAGAAAAGTATATCATTCTAATCAATGGTCAGGTTATTTTCCTTTTTTTTCTATTAACTTTATTATGAATACAATTCAATCTATCTCCCATATTTGAAATATATATTATCTTTATATTATTCTATCATTTATAGTGTATAATACATAATCTATAATATATATCTCGTCCAAATTTCATTGATGCTTGACATATATAATGTATTTATATCAATCCATCATCAACACTTGAAATGAAAACCGTGTTTTATCCTCAGTGCTCGATATGTATAATTTATTCATCATATGGCTATCATAAATACCTGATATCTTCTTAAATCCTCCACCGTCGCTCTGCATCAAGTGGTTACGAGACGTGCACGTGAGCAGAGACATGATCGAACTGGCAAACTGTTCTGCGTTCTCCAGGTCACCTCCAGACTGGAATGGAGCAAGTGAAAAGAAAGACCGAGAAAGTGAGAGAGCATAATGCATGTAAATAAAGCGTATCATCATTTGCATTTATAAAAGCCATTGTGTCATTAATTAAACCATCTTCAATGTTATTCCTGTCCACCAATTTTTTCTCTGAATTTCTGAATCTTGTTTTCTTCACTTTAATATAGGCCTAATTCTGCAGTGTTAAAAAATGGAAGGAGGATGAAAGGGAGGAAGAGGAAAAGGGAGAATGACAGGGAGAGGGAGAGGGAGAGGGAGAGGGAGAGGGAGAGGAAGAGGAAGAGGAAGAGGGAGAGGGAGAGGGAGAGGGAGAGAGAGAGAGAGAGAGAGAGAGAGAGAGAGAGAGAGAGAGAGAGAGAGAGAGAGAGAGAGAGAGAGGGAGAGGGAGAGGGAGAGGGAGAGGGAGAGGGAGAGGGTGAGGGACACAGAGAGGATAAAGGAGAAGGAGGAGGAAAGAGAGAGAAGGAAGAGAGATACAAAAAATGAAAGACAGAGAGACAAAGAAAAACTATTAACATGATGAAAGGAAAAGAATAAAAGAAGACTACTAATGACCATCAAAGCCCACAAAATTAGAACACAACTCTTACAAAGCAACACAAACACCATGAAAAATGTAATACCGTGATAATAGCTCCATCCTCGCTCAGGATGAGATGTCCAACCTCATCTGGAATGCGTCCTATGCCGTGCATGGTTTCGCTGCAAAAGAGTGCTAATATTACCATGATATGATTAACAGTATCAAAATAAACTAAATTAGCATTTACAAAATCAGTCACATCAGTCATCAACCTGTTTATACTAGTAATTCATAATATGTTCTATATATTTTACCAAGATCAGTAAAGCAGGCATTTGCTCAAACATTTATATTATACTTACAGCTAATATAACAAAAAAAAAACTAATATAATAGAATAATGCACACTATTCTTGTGCACACTATGTGAATGAGTCATTTAAAAACATTCTAGTTCATGAATATGTTTTCTAGAATCTTAGTAAAACATACAAAGCCAGACCAGTGTCTAAAACCAATCTTTTGTTGCAAATCAAGAGAGGCTGATCAAGGTTTCATATTGACCCTAGTAATAACAACCTTTTTTGTCCTCATTTGTTAAAATCAGGTTCACTTGCAACAAATGAGCAACATGAAAGAGAAATGTTAATCTCATGTATATATCTTAT